AACGCTCTAGGGGGCAGCAGAGATGTAGAAATGAAGATTAGAGGCTGATTATATTTCAGTGACAGATTTCATAAACACGTTTTATTCTCCTGACCTTTATGTTTGGTTAATATCGTCTAAAAAATTAGACCAATGTTTCTTTACCTTCTTTGCCAGCCTCGGCCAGAGTGGCGTCCTGCTCGATGAGCCACTTCAGCACCAGGTGACCCGCTGGATGTTCTGCCATGTGAAGCTGCAGAGAACAAAAGGAAAACAGAGGTCAGCACAAACAAAGACAAAATAATTAATACCCAAAAAAATTCAAGATTTTAAGTGACTCCTGGTGATGTATCCGCTGCTGTAGGGCTGCTGGTGGTATGATAAAATCTACAGCTTAAGTCAGTGGTTTCCAAAGTGGGTGTTTGACAATACCAGTGACAACAATGAAAGTGACAGTGTCACAGCTGCAGATGTGTGTCTGAAGGTCCAGGTAGTTCAGGTCTACAATCATCATATCTACAAATGGAGGTGGAAAAATTCTTCACTGCCTTTAAAGTTGAGTTCTAAATAGAACATCTACCTCTCCCCCGATTCCTCCAGGTTTCAGCTCCTGATTGGCCAGCTGAGCCACAGCGGTCATGGCAGGTCGTAGGTCACCACAGGCCGAGCCCAGGATATCACTGACTGTGACGCTGCTGGCCTTTTCCAACGCCATGGTAGCGGCATGTTCGTGCAGGTACTCCAGCAGAGAAGGAGAGACAGCCTCCAGGAGCTCCTTTCTACGAATGGCTACGTCTTTTTTACTGAGGAGCAAAAAAAGAAACAATTACTGACTCCGCCCACTGGGATTCAAACATGTCCCCTGGTTGGTTTACAGCACACAGAAGATTTCGTGTTCATGGTGTAACAGTTATTACTACGAGGAGGCTGCAGCTCCTGTTGCCATAGTAACTTTTTGTTGTCATTTACCTGTGTACATTTCCGTCTCCTTTCTCCAGAACTTTGATGATCTCTGGCAGCAGATGAGCTGGATCTCTGGGACTGAGCAGATACAACAGAACCTTCTTTCCATATTTGTTATTGATGACCTCGTCCAGAGACGACAGAATCTCCTGCACAGGAACCAGGATCAGGTGAGGCCAGTTGAACAGAAAACGGGATTAAACAACAGCACTAGTACTGAACAGTTCCTGGACCATAACTGATAGTAATTAGTAATGATGGTAAGTAAGGAGCTGGTGGTGGAGTCTGGTTCATGATCTGAAGACCAGGTCCATTCATGAAGTCCAGTCCATGTGAATTTAACAGCTGATGACATCAAACTAACAATACTCACAGACAGGACGGCCTGTTTCACCAGTTTAGTGTCGTCCACACAGTCAAACATGGCCAGAAGAACCAGGTGACTGAACTCCCCCTGTGGACCAACAAGAGAACTTCAACACCCCATAACAAAGTGAAGTCCACTTTGAACTGATCTGCTGATCAAGAACCAATAATAACCATCAGTTTGGGGAACTCACTGTAGCAAACTTCACCATGTACGTCTTCATGGTCTTTATGATGACCTTTCTGTCCTGAAAGGTCGAAGCAACAGGATTAGGAGGAGATGGAAGTCCGAGAGAGAGACATGGGGCAGGGGGAAGAGGAAGTCAGAGGGAAAGACACTGAGGAAGAGGAGAAGGTCAGAGGGAGTGTATCGAAGAGGAGGATGAAAAGAAGGAGGTTAGAGGGGGAGACACTGAGGAGGACAGGGTGTGTGTGTGCAAAGACCTTGGCCGCCCCGTGCCACAGACAGTTCATGGCAACTCGGGCTCCGTCGTGTGTGTGAGCCATGTAGACCACAGACTCTCTGATGGACTCAATCATTTCCTGCTCGGATCAGAGAAAACAGTTTTTTTCAGAACTGATTCTACAAGCACGAGGACGATAAATTAAAAAACAACAAATAAGAAGCTGAGGTGGTGTTGTTGGGATTTCTCACCGTTCTGGGTTTGTCTGGAGCAAACTGGAAAAAGTCCATGAAAACTTTGTGGACCAGAGAGTGTTTGATGACCTGCTCCCTGAAACAGACATCTAACTTTAGCTGCAGGACAACAGAAGCTGCCATTATATCAAGTCAAACCAACACAGCCGTCCAAACCAAAAACTAGTCACTATTTTGTTTGTTGCTGAATCACAGCTGTCTGTTTTCTTTGTGTCAAATTTAGATATTTGATCAAAATTAATCAAATTAATCATCATTTATTACAGAGCTTCATATTTAAAAAACGAATTCATTTAATCACATTAAACTACTCAATGGTACTTTGAATATTTAAAGTTAAAGAATAAATAAATATATTAAGGGCAGCTTTCATCAGGACGCAACTGCTGAGTGGTTTCATTTTATATATAAATATATTTTTACATCTTACTTCTGAGCCATGGGGGTGAGGATCTGCTTCATCTCGTCGATGATGCTGCTCATTTTTCCAGAATGTTCCTCTGCTACTTTTTCTAAGCTGTTACACACTGACGACTGACAACACCGTCGTACAGACAAAGATGGTGATTCTGACATGATCATGTGACATCATTATTCATGAGAATGTCTTTGTCCCTGACTTACCTTGCAGATGATGAAAGTGTTTCCATACAATTCCTCTGTGAGCATCTGTCTCTGAGCCAGCACAGCTTTGTCGTTGTAGGCGTACTCGATGATCGATGAGGCGGCGGCGTGACGAAGCATCGGCCTCACGTGACCTTTGAACGTTTGCATCACAGATGCCACTACCTCCTTGTTCCTTTTGCAGAATATCAACAGTTTAAACAAGCGTATTCAGTAGCATTTGTGAGAACGTTGAAGAAGAATGGCCTTGGCGAACTCACCCGTACATAAGCAGCTTCTTCACCACGTGTCGTCCGTACTGAGACTTACATAAACTGATGATGTCATCTGGAAACAACCGAGAGACGAGGCTTGAATACTTACAGTCCAACATACAGATCTAACATTAACAGCTAAATGTCAGCCAAAATACTACAATACATGGTTTCAAGTGTAATTTAGGAATAACTGGCAAAAACAACCCAAACTTTTTTACACAGATATGATAAAGTAAGGTAGCAACAGCTATATAAAATATCCAAAAGATGGTGTTCCAATCATTTTAAATATGAAAGTCAATGATAAACACAAGAGATGGCTGACAGTGAACCGAAATTAGATTTTCATTTCTACATCCTTTATACAAAAAAAGAATGTGAATCTGGCTCTTCACCCTTTAGTTCATCGAACACTTCTTGCCTCTGCTCATGGCTGCCAAACTGCACAAAACACTGCAGCACTCTTACAGAGTCGTGAGCAAACGCCATCTACAGGCAAGAAGAAGAAGAATCACATTGTTGTCACTCCACTGCAGAGAAACCTTACAAGATAATGACGACAAAAATTCCAGATCCAATCTCACCTGTTTAATTTTCCCACGGAGCAGATCATGAAGTTGCTTCATTGATTTCTTTTTCGTGTCGTTGTCACAGTTCTTCCTGTTAGAACACAGAAAAAGAAACTGTTGTTACTTTTGTAAACCTGTATTTGGAAAATGTCCTGCAAAAGGTTCCTTCAAACACAAACACCATTTGTCAGACATGAACCCTTCAGGACCCGTGACTGTCACCAAGACAAAATATAAAAGAAAGACATTAAGTAATCTCTGACCTGCGGAGTTCAGCCCAGATCTGTTTGGACTGAGTGATGATGAGGAACATGTCTTTCCTCTCTGCCTGCTGCCGACTCTGCTTCAAGTCTTTCTTTCTCTGCTGCCTGTTCAACTTCAGCTCCTCCTTGGTCATTTGCTTCTTCAGCTTCTTCACAGCCTGACCTGCTTCAGTAATGTCAGTCGTGAAAATCCGGGAAGTAAAATCACATTCAAATAAAGCATCAATCATACTGACAAAAAAAACTAGAAAAAAAATTTAAACCTTACCCTCGCTCTCTTCCCCAGCAGTCATTTTCCTTTTCCTCTGTCCTGCTCCAGCTTTGGAAAACTTGAACTTCTCATCTTTGTTGCCACCAACTCTAGTTTTCCCTGTGTTGTTGAATGGTTTGAAGGGCTTCTTCACTCCTGGTTTGCCCCCTGGTTTGCCCCCTGGTTTCCTTACAAACTTGGTACCTGTAGAATCTATAAACAGCAGGGCAGAGCAATAACAACATGATCACAATAACCCAAAGAATAATTCCACTTTTAGGACAAAATGGATGGATAAACTAGTGAAAGAAAACCATGTAAACACCAAAATTCTGATGTGCCAACACACCTCCTGATCCATTCTGTGAAAACTTCTGTTTCTTCACACCTTTAGCAGAAAAGGGTTTTTTGGGTCTGGCCTCCATTCTGAAGTACGTCACTAAATTACAGACAAACAGACAGAACATAAACAATTACGCAATAACAGATACAAATCATCAATTTGCGTATTACATAAAGTAATTTAAACCAAAATATATGTTTTTAAATCTGCATTAAATATGACGGATTTGGGTTTTAATCAGAATTTCACAGAAACTACTGCGGCACAATAGATCGTACATTTAATATAGAGGACTTCCAGGTTTACAGGTGAGGTCTATGGAGGAACTTGACCTAACTGTTAAATATGATTAGACGACAAAATAAATGTGTTATTTAAGATTAGTAACTCACATTATCCAAACACGCTGCTCCAAGGCTGTGCACTTTTTCCACGCGTTCCGTTACGACACTAGTTTACGGCACAAGAAGGCCAATCGGCGTTCGCCAGTTAATACCGTAAAATGAAGTGCATCGTCGCGACATGTAAACGTAAAGCTTATTTTACGATTTAAAAAAAACCCCAAAAAACAGTGATGTAGGAAGTCATTGTTTTGCCATGGTAAAACATATCCTGAAATGCTAATGCTAATTTTAATAGTTTTTATTTCTGTTTCATAATGTTTTATGTTTTTACAAAACATTTTTATGTTAAATTTAAAAAGCACAGATACATTTAATATAGCATAAATTGTCGACAGAATGTTTAAAAATAAAACAAGTCTACGTCTAGCGTTGTAGTTTTTCCGAAATGTTTTTCTTCGTTGGATACATTTTTATTTCATTTTTTTATTATTAGTATTTCAAAAAACTTTGGCATTCTAAAATAGTATTGCTGGTGTTTATTACTTTTCCACTTAGCCCATAAGTTATTTTGCGTTAACTCGCCCGTGTTTACGTGTGATGTTGACCGGACCATCATGGTGGCCTTCTGTCTGGCGTACCAATTCGACGCCTACGTGATGACGCAACTACAGACTTTTCGGGTTTCTGAAATCTCGCGCTCTTAAACCTTGTGCTACTATTCTGTTCTGCACGTGTTGATGGATTAAATGCTAATTTGAGGTTATTACGCCAATTTTTGAGGTGTTTAGGCGAGAACTGGTTACGGTTGGTTTCCGCGAATTGTAACTGAAACTGTTCTAAGCATGTCATGCTAAACAAGGCAGTGGTAAAATGTGTCTGAAGAGCGAACCGGAGGTTACTGGCTAACGTTAGCCTCCGGACCAACAACATGTCCAGACATGTTGGCAGTGACACGAGAAGGAAAATGACGACTGTTTTTAATTCAGATGCAAGATAACACCGTACAAATGGATTTCCAGTTCCCACAGCAATTGTTTCCATTTTTTTATAACTCTGGACCTCCAGATAAAGTGGTGTTACATAACGCTGGAACGTGGGGAGAATATGGGAGAGTCTCTCTTCAGGTTAGTATTTTTAAATGTCAGATGAACTTAACACGCCACATCCAAGATGTTTCGTTGCAGGAAATTAGGCCTTTCTATTTTTGGTTGTTTCTCAACCAAAATTTCTCAACCTTTCTTGACCCGTTGGTTAACCATTTAAATAACTTTACCCTTCTTTCATATGTCATCTTTACCTCAGTTACAAACAACCTCAAATTGTGCAGATGAAGAGATGCTTTAAATTCATTTTTTTGGGCTACTATGTTCTGTTGTTTTTTGAATAGCATCTTAAAGTCCACCAGGGGTTCGTTTGTTATGCTATCCATTTCCTCCGTCACACTACGAAGGCGAAACATGTCTGTTTGAGGTTATTGTGTTTCAAAAGAATATATATTTATTTTTTAGAACTATCAAAAACATCATTCCTGTGAGTTTTGTGTTTTAACATTTTTAGTGTTGCCCATTTTTGATTGAACTTTAGTTATCCTTTAGTTATGGACTAACCACTAATATTTAATTTATACCTAGCGAAGTAATCTTTGTTAAATAATGTAAATAGTCCAACCTTTACCTTTATTTTGCCTTTTACTCGTTGCTTTTTTCCCCTGCAGCAGTTAAAAAAATAATAAAAGAGCTCATGTTGACATCACTTGTGTTTTGTTGCGCTACAGATATCTTAAATTATCTGTTAGGTTTTTTAGTAATATTACTGACCGCTGTAGCTTAACTCACAGTTTGTTATATTAGCAATTAGTTGCTGTTATATTATGTATATGTTGTATTTGCTCAAACGTCTAAGTGCATTGGTAGTTGATGTGCTCTGAGCATGGCACCGTCCCCACACATTGCTCCCCAGGAGCTTGAGCTGCCCCAGGCTCACTTTAGTGCTGAGTAAAACGCAGATGTTACATTTCGTGGTGTGCAGTGTCACAATGACAAGTAGTTCACTCTCACATTTGACCAATGTAGCTGTTTTTGGATAACTTTTTTCCCCCTACATTTTGTGAATCATATTTTTTCCTACCTCTCAAAAAATATTTTGCAAAAAGTTAATATTTTAGTTTTTTTTATGTTGTACCTATATTTAGGCATTTCCTTTTTTCTTAAATAACAGATTGTATGTGTTTTTAGGGCAACCCTGGTGCTCAGTCCAGTTGGAAGTTTCTGTCCAGGCATCAGGTCAGCACACAGACCTGGTGTCACACCGAACCTGTTCCACTTCCGCTCCTGTCTCCTAAAAAAGGTGAGTCCTTCTTAGCGGATTGATGTCTCTGTTGAATGGAGTATTCTCTCTGACAGGAGCAGCTTTTTACTAAAATAATAATAATAAGTTATAATAATAACTAAAATAATAATAAATTAAAAAAAGATTTAACAAGAATCACTCCTCACCTCCACTCCCTCCAGCATTTACGTGGCCAACAAAACTTCCAGATCCTCTGGACTTTAGAGAACAGGTGAGTGTTGCAGTTAAACAAAAACAAGCACTCTTGAACTGATTGTAAACGGTAAACATCTGCTACAACCTATGGTTGCAGAATCATTTGATGACTTAAATAAGATTTAAATGTATACATTTGACATTTTCCATTATTGCGTTTATCAAAAGTTGTCACTAACAGTATTATTCTTTGCTAATGTGTATTTGTTGCTGTGTCTGTGTTTGCAGAACTCACTTCATCATTATTTTATAAAATTATAGCTAGTTTTGTTCTATTTGTTGAATGATACATGAATTTGGAAAGGGATTTTTTCCAATTTTTTTGTAGTAGTACTTTTTTTAATTCTGATCGCCAAAACATGAGCTACTTTTATGTTTTTTACCTGTAATAGACAAAGCATTTTGAAATATGTGATTAGATGGAGAGCTTTTACATGGATCACAGCCATGATGCCTTTGGATGCATGGCTGAAATTCTGGGGGAAAACTTCAACTTTAAAAAAGGACCAACTGAGGTGTGTTTCACAACAACATTCTGTCAAAGTCTTTACAGTGGGCAACACAAAGCATGTTGCACATGAGGAAATATTTACAGCATTGTTCATCAGATCTTTGTTGCAGTCTTGTTTGTTTGTTTTTTTCCCCACTTTAATGTGTGTGTGCTGTCTGTTCTTTTTTTTTTTATTTAAGAAAACCCGAAAAAACGCTGTGCACATGTGGAGGGTGATGAAAGGTCTAGATAGACTCAATTATAAATGGTGAGGGGATGTGACGGTGGTCATGGATCTGACTTTTGTTTTATATTTTAACACTGTGTGTCTTTGTTCTACAGTTGTCCATTTTCACATTTCACTAGAAGGTTGAACAAGTACAGCTCACTGCTGTGGGATGTGGTTCCCTCCATCCCAGCAGAGCTGCTGGGTTCTCTGCTGCACGAGGAGCTGGCTCACCAGAGAGACCGCATGCTCTTCTCTGAAACTACCACAGGTGGCGCTCTGGATTTTATCCCCTCCTCTCAGAGTGGCTATGGCTTCCTCCTTTACCCTGGAAACATGGGACTCAGCCAATTCAGTATCCATATTCAAAGTACCGTAGTTTGAGAACCACTTGTTTAGACCAAATTTCACATGTTATGTTCCGACTGTAACTGCAAGAGCAAAGGCATAGTTATACTGCTACACAGACTACTACTGGTAGCTGCAGTTTGCCAATAGTTTACTCTCCCATTCAGAAGCCAATATAGAAAACTGTTTGTTTACATACAGTATTTGTTTATGTATTTATATCTGTAACTCAGATCTGTTATTTTGTTACTATTTTTTTTTATTTTCTTGTCCATAATTATGTAGCTGAGTCAACATGACTATAATGGGCATCAGTAGACCTGCAGTATATTTGTCCCTTTGAGACAAAACCACTGATTTTCTCTAAGACAATGGTTCAATGGCTGTCACTTTGTCATAAATGATCCATAAGTGCTGAAATACCAGTTTTAAGAACAATTTAGTTTCATTAATAACCATGTGAAAAGTAATTCCATATGCTATCTCTAAAATGGGTGTATCCCAGGATCATGAAGACTAGAAAAGTGGCATTTGTCTGTTCTTCTTAACGCAGTTTTCCAGACTTACACAGAGTTGCGTTGCAGCACGACAGAGAGGGTCCCTCTGTTTTCAGCTGTAGCAGTAGTGGGTCCTTCAAGTTCCAGCTAAAAGGTCCCATCAGACAGATCAGCTCTGCCTCTCTACTCAATACTTGTAATGCTGCAGACACTTCTTGCCTCATTTATGAAAAATTAACTTCCTCTG